ATTCTCTTTGCTTGTATGTTCTTTGTTTAATCACCCCTGCTATGTCTGCTTCTAAAATATAAGTGCACCTCTTCAAATTATATCACTTGACCACTGTTCTCTCACTCTCATTTGTTACCTACACTATTCTGAATCTATCACTCTTGGTCGGCTGAACAGCCAAGGCCACCAAAACTCTCTCTATTGACCTCCCTAGTGTGAGCACTGCTAGGGGTCTATTTGAGACCCTTGTGAACTCGGACACACTAGGATTTGGGGTTCTTTGATCACCCTCTTTGCTGCTAGAGCTTGAGCTGTCTCTAGCATTTAGCCTTTCTTCCTCACCTTATTTTTATAATCTACAAACTAGGTTGTGTAAGTGATTTCTGTGTAATTCAATATTTGGGTCATATGGTCAATTTGTGACTGTTTGGTTTGGCTTAAGTTCCTTTGTGACTTTTGGGTTGTGTTGATGGGTATAGTCCCCTGTTTGGATCTGGGCATGCTATTTGCGAAGAAGGAGTTTGTTGAAGGCCCGGGCAATACTGGGTATCTCCTTTGGGCCAGTTGTAGGCCTACTATAATTTCTTGTGTAATATTTGTACTTATATTCCTCATATGGTCTATAATAATTTTGTAATAAACAATTGGGGTGTTACTGAAATTGGGAAACGGTATATTCTAATGTTTGCATGAAAGGGTAGAAAACATGCCTATAGGATTCGTATGATTTACTTGTTATTTTATCCAACCTACCATATATGCTATTTGAATTTCCATGTACACTAGTAGAAATCATGCCATTAGGGAAATCATACACTCACACAACTTGTTTACTATCAAAGCATGAGCTTAAGTACTCTATTTATTCCCATGTCTATTGCTATGTGTCACTAGACAACATGCCTATTGGAAACAAATGCCAATAACCATCCTTCAATTTGCATAACGGCAGCACGTTCATTAGATACCATGCCTATAGGATTATACTAGCTTATGCTCTACTAGTCCTCATCTAGATATCATGTCCATAGGTTCTTAATTGATTCATCAACTACCGTTATATCTATCGCTCGCCTAGAAAACATGCCTATAGGGACGAAGTGTTACAGAATCAGTTTTCAACTGCCAACTATTAGAACCTAGCTATAAAATACTGCTACTTGCTCAGAAATCATGCCAATAGGATCAAACACGAGTAATTCTTAGTATTCCCAATGGTTTTCACTCCCCCTATTGCGTAAATCACTTAGAGACCATGTCTATAGGTTTTAATAACTTATAATCTGTAATCTCAACAAACAGCATAACAGTACCAGATACTCTTAAACTGAGTAGTTGTTTAGAGACCATGTCTATAGAGCTTAATAACTTCAATTTGCCTTAATGCTGAAACTGTCTAGTGCCTAATGTAGAAATCTGTATGCGTGCATTTATTGTCTAAGTGTGGAGGCTAACTTGAGCCTTTAACTATCCTTAAGTGAATCCTATTTGTTTTGATTGTCGCTTAGTTGTATCATTTTGAGCAGCCTAAGTAAAGTTTAGAACCACCCAAATAAAGGTCCAACGCCTCCTGGACCATAGATATGGGACGGGTAGTGCACGCATAGGACGCGACCTGGAATTAAATTAGAATGCTTTGAGTAAACAACTTCAACATAGTAATCGGGTAGCAGGAGAGGATAGTCTCTGCCCGCTGAATAATATGAGCAACTCCTATCTAAAAGGAGTTGCGAAGTATTATTTATGTTGCATGGGGTGATCCTTTAGGCTAAAAAACTTAGGACCCCCCTTTTTTCTCTTTATACCTTTTATTCTCTTTTTTTATTTAATCATCTTTCCTAATTATAATCCACATAGTCTTAAGTTCGGCCGGGACCCACAGTTGTGGACCTCAAAGAGTGTCTAACACCTTCTCTTTGAGGTAATTTGAGCCCTTGCCCGATCTTTGGTGGCGATGACTAGTAAAACAGAGTTATCTGCATAATAGGTTCCCTAATGCACCTAAAAAATCGTTAGATGGCTATTCTTCTTCTTTTAACACTTTACCTCCCAGTCAAAAGAGTGGTCACATGTCGAAGCCCGCTTTCGCAAGAAAAGGGGGCTCGACAGCATGGCGACTCTGCTAGGGATTTACGTTTAGGCTCTTACCATAATGAACTTGGCTTATGTGGATTATTTTCTCGGTTACATTCTATGACATGCACATCCCTTCCCTTCTCCACCTTTATTTGTTTAAATTTGCTATTACATGCATATCCCTTTCCCTATTCACCTTTTATTCATTTAAATCTGTTATGACATGCACATCCCTTCCCTGTTCACCTCTATTTGCTATGACTACTCTTCATTGCTCTTTATTTTTCCTAAGACTGCCATATCATGCCTATCCAATCCCTACCCCCTTACTTGCTTTATTACATTCTCGCATATACTCCATTAACTAACTTCTTCCTTTTGTCTTTCTTTTCTATGTTTTTCATGTTTTACCTTACTACTGTATTTACTGCTTTTTTTATCGTGTAAATACTTGACAATGTTTTATTATCTCTGCATAAACTCATGCTCCACATCATACTCCACCAATGCTAATTAGCAACATAGCGGCGCTTGATGAGTGCGCTCTTTCAAAATTACCTTTCTCAAATTGGAAAGGCTTATTTACGGTAGACTAGTCGATCAATGGTGAAATCGACGGTCCCGTGCCTTTCCCTCTCAAGTTGTCCACATGGGAGTACCAGTCTAGGCCATTCTAGAAACCTTACTACAATATCAAATGTACATTCATCATGTTAAACCTAGTATGGGTTAGAACGTTGTTAACATAATAGCCCGCTAAGATAAGCCTTGTCCAAAGTCCGACGGGATTTTTACAATCCCAATGGACTCTACCATGTTATGTGCATTACTTGGAGAAAATGTGCCAATATGTTGATCATTATTGTGTAAGTGGTCATATCTGGAGGGGGAAAGGGCTAACTTTATTTGTTTGCAGAAAATAAAACACGAAGTCCCCAGGTTCGGCATGATCCAAAACATCCCACCTCAGCTACTTGACTGGTGGAAAGACCTTGCGCCTTGCAACAAGAATCATGTGAAAAGAGTACTTAGTGACTTGCCGTCTTTGCTTAATATCCAACCAAATAAAGCTTTGATTGAGGATGCTACCATGTTCTGGGATGAGAAAAGAGCGGTCTTCCGATTTGGTGACATAGAAATGACTCCTCTCTTAGAAGAAATATGAGGTTTTGCTAAGCTTCCATGGGATAGTCCGGGGTTACTAGTACCAGAGAATCGCACCCCTTGCGGTTTTCTAAAGATGTTGGGCTCTAAGAAAAGTGAAGAATTTCTTTGCTTAAAGAAATCTTATATCCCTTTTGGGTTTCTTTATGAGCGTTATGGGCATAGTAAGTCGTACCGTCTTCATCACGAGGAACTTGTCATTACCTCCTTAGGTTGGACGCACCGCCGAGTTTATGTATTCATCATTTGCTTCTTGGGTTTGTTGATATTTCCAATGAAAGTGGGAAGGATTCACACTCGTTTAGCTATGGTTGCAAGAACTTTAATGGAAGGTATCGAGGGGCAAACCTACACCATAATCCCTATGATATCCTATGATCTTAGTTGAACTGTACCGTGCTCTAGACCAGTGCAAGCAGGAGTTCGGATATTTTGAAGGTTGTAATCTATTACTGCAAGTTTGGCTATTGGAGCACTTTCAAAGGGGAAAATATCGCCAAGATCTTTTGTGACAGCTATTGAATGACTATATAGCTTATCACCATCCAAAGAAAATGACATTCATCCAAGATAAGTTCGCATAGCCCGAAAGTGTTGTAAGTTGGGTACGTTTCTTCTGCAATCTGACAGACGAGAAGGTACATTGGATGTTTGAGTGGTTTCCTAGCAGTGAGTTCATCATAAGGTAGAGGGATACTACTCATTTGGTATTGATCGGGTTACGAGGCATTTATCCTTATGCTCCTATAAGGGTAATGAGGCAAGCACAAAGAAAATAGGTTATACCTCAGGTTTCTAACATGGTCCAGTACAAGGTAGATTTCAAAGGGGACATCATTCCTTTCAAGTTCGAGGCGCAACATATGTGAACTAGAAGGTCATTGTGGAAAGAGAGACTATCGAGCCAGACAGGTACCATGCTGGTCATGTGTATTTCTATCTATCATGGTTCATAGATGATATAGCAGGAGACATCAAGCCAGGGGGGTCAATTTGGAAAATAGGATCATTGATGCTACTGCTGAGGCACAGGTCAAGTATAGAAGGCTTCGCAAAAGGGTTTTTGAGTCTGAAGCTAGACATATGGAACAACATAAAGTGGACATGGAGGCAATTAATGAATGGAAGGAAATCGCCACTAAGTCCACCAAGAGATTGGAATATCTAGAACAAGGATTGATGGAGCTTGAGGGAAAGATGAGAAAGAGGCTTGCGGATTGTCAAAACACGGATGACAATGAAGGAGGGCATCTAGCAAACGCTTATTTGTTATTGGATATGCGCCACTTGGGAAACTTGATTGATGGAGTCAAAAGAGCCAAGCACGGAGAACGTCCTTCAGGACCAAGTAGACTAGCAAATAATGTCCTTTTTAGATTTCAATTGTAATAAGGATAAATTCCATTAGTAACTTTATTATAATTATCGATTTAGTGAAGGTTTGGCTCATTTTCACATTAATGAAATGACACAATTATTGGCATCAATTTTCTCCAAGTCTATGTGTCGCTTAGGCCTACCTCGGGCAGAATGAGGTCCCCAAATTAGGACGCGAATTATTACATGATTTTGCAAAACATGTTTAATATTGGAAGCATTCTTTCAATACCCCTTACTAACTTGGTTACCTTTTTCTTTTTCTTCTTTTTGATTATTCCCATTACCTAAGGTTGGTTCGTGCATACTGGCATCGTCAGGATATCACACTAGATTTAGAGGTCCTCCACCTCCTCCTCCACCAAGTGAACCTAAAGGAAAAAAGCAAATGGAAAGGGAAAATGGACGATTTGAGTGGTATCAGGAAGGACATCACTACTATACCTGAGAACGTCGAAACTTCAGATGGTCGGAGTACCCCGGCACAGAATGAACTGGTCTTACGTCTGGAACAAAGGATTTTGGAGCTACAAAGAGAACTTGAGCAGGTGTGGAACTTGGCAAACCTCTCTCTCACTCTAAATGTCCCTGATATTGACCAACAAAATCCAAATACCCAGAACTAAGCACCACAAAACCCACAAAAACAAAACCCGCCACCAAACCCTCCTGCACCACACCAGTACCCTACACCTCCCCAAAATCCTAATCCTCCTCCAATACCAACTCCGCAACAACATCATCACCACCCAACCCAATACCCGCAGACTACCACTTATCATACTCCCCAGAATATACCACAACCCACTCCTGACCTCCAAAACTCAACAAATGATCACCCTTATGCCCAGATCTCCGGAGTCCACCAAAGCAACTCGATATATGTGGATACCTTACCCCATACCCAATACCCCAAAACAAACCCTATACATACCCGAGTTAACCGAGAAGGACCTGCTCAACAAGAATATAGCGGAAGAACTCAAGAAGCTCTCTGGCAGAGTTCAAAATGTCGAAGGTGGTAAGGCATTGAAGGTTTGAATTATGAAGACTTGTGCATTCAGCCAGATGTAGGGATGCCGGAAGGGTACAAACCTCCCAAATTTGAAATGTTCGATGGAACTGGTGATCCAAAAGTTCATCCGAGGACATATTGTGACAAGCTTGCAGGAGTGGGCAAAAATGAACAAATCCGCATGAAACTATTCATGCTAAGCCTCACAAGAGATGCATTGTCCTGGTATGTCAGCCAGAATCCGAAGAAGTGGGTGAGCTGGGTAAGCATGGCATCAGACTTTATGGACAGGTTCAGGTTCAACACCGAGAACGCACCAGATGTTTTCTACATTCAAAACCTCAAAAAGAAACCAACAGAGACCTTCTGTGAATATGCTCATCGGTGGAGGTCTAAGGCTGCAAAAGTAAGACCAGCACTCGAAGAAGAACAAATGAATAAGTTCTTTGTCAGAGCTCAAGAACTGCAATACTATGAAAGGTTGATGGTTATTGAGAACCACAAAATCTCTGACGTCATCAAGCTAGGAGAAAGAATAGAAGAAGGGATTAAAAGCGGGATGGTGCCGAATTTCGAAGCACTACACGCTACAAATAAAGCCTTGCAATCGGGAGGTATCTGGAAGAAGAATGAAGCGGGTGTTGTAATGGTGGCCCAGGGTGCTAAGTCTCCCCTCACATGCCAAACACCTCCACCTACATACCAAACGCCTCCACCCACATACCGGCTTTCACCCCCCAGATATCAACAACCTGCTACCACCTACCACACCTATAACACTCAACCCGCATATTATCACTCACCACCACCTGCCCGCCAAAATTACCAAAAACCAAGACCAAACTTCGACCGCACACCACCTAGACAATGCACCCCAATTGGTGAACCCATAGACCAACTATACGAGAGACTGAAGGCTACTGGTTACGTCACTCCCATTCCTGCAGTTGCCATGGAGAATTCTTCTCAGTGGTTTAACCCCAACAAAATAGGTGTCTATCATTCAGGGATGAAGAGTCATACTATTGATGAGTGTCGCACACTGAAGGACAAGATTCAGACATTAATCGACACTAAAGTCATACAGGCAAAGGAAGCTGCACCAAATATTCGTAATAATCCTCTCCTGGATCACATAGGTGAGGGAGTGAACGTGATAGAGACTGGCAAGGAATGGGATTCGGAAGGGTCAATTGGACTCATTCGAGAGGGAGATGATCCTAAACCCAAGCACCTTTTGAAGTCGAGGTAACCATACTAGCACTGTTTGAAGTCGAGGTAACCACACCCTTCACTGTGATGGTAGCTCCCACGCCATCTTACAAGTCTGATGCTATCCCATGGGATTACGTTGCAAAAGTAAGGAGGAAAGGAAAAACAAAAATGGAGGAAACAGGTGCAACACAAGGCATGACTAGAACTGGTAGAGTTTATACACTTGAGCACTTGGGAGGAATAAGAAAGGAAGCTGCATCTAAGCCGCCTGCTGTTGAGATTGGCCTTGATGACCTTTGGAGAAAAGTACAAGCAAGGGAATACTCTATCTTCGATTATCTGAACAAAACGCCCGCTCAGATATCCATCTTGTCACTGCTGCAAAACTCTGAGACACACATGAATTCCTTGATAAAAGTGTTGAGTGAAGCTTATGTACCCACCAACATCACTAGTGGAGAGATGGCCAACATGGTCGGGCAGGTACTGGAAAGCCACAAAATCACCTTTCACGAGGATGAATTACCACCAGAAGGACTAAGTCATAACAGGGCACTACACATCACAGTGCAATTTGAGGATACATTCATCACCAGGGTCCTGATAGATGGGGGTTCAAGTCTCAATATATGTCCACTGACTACTCTAAAGAGGTTGGGTAAAGGCCTGCACGAGATACGGATGGGAAGTATGAATGTAAAGGCATTTGATGGATCCCAAAGAGCCACAAATGGAGAAATCAACCTCAACCTACAAATGGGCCCGACCTGGTTTGATGTTGAGTTCCAAGTGCTGGATATATCTGCCACCTATAATCTATTGTTGGGACGACCCTGGATACACGCCGATGGGGCGGTGGCTTCTACTCTGCATTAGGCTATGAAGTTTGAATGGAACCATCAAGAAGTGATTATCCATGGGGATGGAAGCAACCCCATCTACACCAATCAGACCATTCCAGTCATCGAGAATAGGAAGAAGCTGGGTGGAGAAACATGCCATCGCAATGAGTGAGTCAACGCAATTGAAAAGGATCGATGGTGGAGTAACAATGTAGAAAGCATATTAATATGGACAGGATTTGAACCTGGCAAGGGTCTCGGCAAAAACCTCTAAGGGATCACCAAACCCATTCAACCACAGCATCATGGCACAACTTTTGGGCTCGGATATGAATATACTTGGCAAGAGCATCAAGATTGGTCGCCGCCATGGCATGGTCCTTATTATCCGCTGGAACAACCAATACCATCTCTACACCAGACATTTCATCAAGCTGACATAATGTGGGGATCTGAGGAAGATAAAATCTTAGCTGGCATGAGGAAACTATTTCTGGGTAAAGAAGATATGGATTGCAGTGCGATAGTTGAGGAGGAGGACGAGGAAGACCTTACGATTCAGACCGTGGGGAAATGAGCTGTTCTAAAAAACTGGACTGATATACCATCCCGGGCCCTTCGAGTTCCTGGGTAGCTTGGTAGATTAGCATCAATTATTTTTAAGCATTAGAGATATTTTCAGTATTTTTCTTTGAAATAATTGCTCGAGTCATCGAGCCGCATTTATTAACGTTTTAAAGATTTCAATTAATGCATTGCTACTTTTCGTAATTACTATTATTCTCTACATTTTCTCTTTTTACAGCATTATTATTTCCTATCCCGATGAACCTGTGACTGTGACATGTAATAAGATAACGCAACATAAGGATAGTGATTCAGAAGACCTGGAAGATGATACGATACCTGAGGAAATCGTCAGAGAAGTGGAAAATTTTGAAAACAAGCCAAAGTCCAATTTGGACGAAACTAAAGCAGTTAACTTAGGGGATTCCGAACTGGTCAAGGAAACATGCATAAGCATTCATCTATCACCGTCAGAGAAAGAAGAGTACATCAGATTCCTAAAAGAATATAAAGATATATTCGCATGGTGCTACGACGATATGATGGGTTTGAGCACATCTATAGTAGCTCACAAGTTACCCACTAATCCTACATGTCCATCGATAAAGCAGAAGCTCAGAAAATTCAAGCCGGACATGAGTTTGAAGATAAAAGAGGAGGTCACCAAGCAGATCAAATCCAAGGTTCTTAGAGTGGTCGAGTACCCGATTTGGTTGGCCAACATCATGCTAGTTCCGAAGAAAGATGGGAAAGTCAGAGTATGTATTGACTACCGAGATCTAAATAGAGCAAGTCCCAAAGATGATTTCCCGTTGCCTAATATACACATATTGATCGACAACTATTCCAAACATGAACTCCAATCCTTTGTGGATTGCTTTGCGGTGTACCATCAAATCTGGATGGATGAGAAGGATTCTGAAAAGAGAGCCTTCATCACGCAATGGGGAATATATTGTTATAAAATGATGCCATTTGGTCTGAAGAACACCGGAGCCACCTACATGAGAGACATGACAACTGTTTTCCATGACATGATACATAAAGAGATAGAAGTGTACGTGGATGACGTTATCATCAAATCCAAAAAGAGTACGGATCACATAGCGGATCTGTGGAAATTCTTCGATCGACTTCATAAA